GACTGTTTCCTCTTATGTTTTTTTTATAGATTTAAATTAGTCACGATTTGGTTATAGCCGTCACATTCGCGCGTGCGGTCTAGTGCGTTCTAGTGAAATTTAAATTTGCATAACCATTGGATTGAAACGCAGCGCTTTTTTAGAGTTAATTGCGCCTGAAATGTATTCGCGACTCAAGCTTTCCCGATTGCTCTTGTAACGACACAAACAATGACGCTTTAACGAAAGGTTAAGTTGTATGCACTTGCGTATCTGAAGAAACTAACACAAACGTATGCTGAATAATGTAAGTAGGAATTAGAATGTCAACGGGAGCCGATACGAAAGAAAAATTGGTGTAACGGTGACCGCCTGACCATAATTCAATAGCGACGAGAATTAACGACCCACCGAGTTAAGAGTTTATGATGTACAGTCGAGTAATTATTGCTAGTGTTTAGCAATGAAAACTCCGAGCGGACTAAAATAAATTCATTGGTGGGACACCTATATCGCGTTTTATATCGATCTACGTTCTAGAGAAGAGAAAAAAAGAGATTGGAATTTTAATATCGCGACTTAGCGGTATTTTTCTTAGCCTGTATATATCTTGATTCGTGAGGATGGAGGATTGATCCTTACAGCGCCGTTGGGCGAATAAAAGGAAGCTATAAAAATCTCGTTGCGGCATCGATGAGAATTAAATACTGCGGATTTTTCTTCGATAATACGCGGAGCCCGCCTCGACGGGCGATCCAGAGAAGACCAGAAGAATGCAGAAATACGTTAAACGCGATAAAAATTTTTTCGCGCGTAAATGTACTCGTTAACGACGTCAAGCGCAATTTTAGAGAGATTGCGAAATAATTCGGATTCTCTGGCAATGAATGCAAAATTACGTCAAACGGAGTTCAAAGAGATATAAAGTATATATCGCCAGTATTCCGTCCTGCGCTGTTAGAGATAAAAAAATATATCTTTGTAATTTGCACTCGTCACACGTATTTAGATCGAAATTAGAACTTTTATTCGTCTCTCAAAAAATTGTCGAAATTAACGTGAAATTAAATCCTTCTCTCTTTCTCTCTCTCTCTCTCTCTCTCTCTCTCTCTCTCTCTCTCTCTCTCTCTCTCACTCATTGCACATTACATCCCGCTGGCTATTATCTTCTTTGCATTTACCGTGACATCTGCAGGTCGGTCAATTATGCGATCCCTATTAAATTACGTGTGTAATCGCTGTAATTAATCGGGAAACGAATGCTCGCCTGTTTAAAACGACACACGCGGCCATCGATCGTAACGTCACGACTCGACCTGACTCTGTGCCAATTACTTTTCGTTCCCTATCCGCGTGAACCTGAACGCGGTAAGTGGCGAATAGAATGATCGTAGGGTAATAACGTTGATCTCAGTGAGAAGGCACGAGGGGCGGTTTAAGAGCGTGTTTAGCGGTTGCGATCCCCGGTGGCCTTTCCGCAGGACAGTAAAGGGCACTAAGGGGCAGTATGAGGCTCGTAAGGAGGTGTAGTAGTGAGAGGTGAGCCGTTGCGCGTACTCAGACCACGATATAAAATCACTCCGCGCGCAAGCGCCCGGCAAAGTATTGTCCGCTTCGGCCTGTTTCCTCGCCAATGTGGGAATCCTTGCGAGAAGGATCGGAAAGTCGAATCGATCTCGTTCTTAATTCCCGAGAGAGGTGAAACATGCAAACGCATCTCTAAGTAAAACGGAATGCTTTAAACCGCCCACTTGTCGATAAAGGTGGCCGTCTAATTCCGTACATAAAAGAATATAATTTTTTTCCTCAGTGGAATCCTCTTATACACATGGTCTCTCGAGAAGATTTTTCTAAAACTAAAAGAAATATTCTAACAACAACAAAAAAATAACTCTAGCCGCAAGGCGCTCCATTTTCTGTAACCTATTTATATTCTAAGCGAAAATTTTTGCCGAAAAAATATTCCTCTTCTAATTAAGAGGAATAATATTATGATGTTATGCTTAAGATATTCTCCTTTTAGTTTAAGAAGAATCCTCTCTTGAGGACACATATGCTAGGATAATGATAAGTGTGTCCCATACCTTATATACATGCAAATTAGGTCAAACTGAACGCAAAATTCCTCTACTATTTTACGAGCAACTACGTAAAATTTTGAATTATTAATTAAAGAAGATTAACGAATGATCACGCGATACGTTAGGTGCTGTCGTATGCTTGTCGATTAGGTCAAACTGAACGAAAATGTCCATTTTGCAAGTAATTACGTTGATTTTTAGTTATTAATTAAAGAATATTGGTGCATTATCATTCGAGAATTTTCTTTAAATAATAAATTTCAAAAATCTATGTGGTTATTTGCAAAATAGTACAGGGCTTTTTTGTTCAGTTTTATCCAATCTACAAGCACATGCTTGGAGCGATTAAAGTCGTAGCAAGGAGCAAGGAATAGAAATGTATTATACAAGGAGAGGCAAAAGAGAGAGAGAGAATTGTAGTCATAGTTGAGAGAATTGTAAATGATGCAGAGGTACTCTATTGCACTCCGCAAAAGAACACAAAATTTACTACTACTGCTATTGTTATTATTGCTACAATTATTACCATTATTATTGCTACAATTGATAGTATGATGAATAAAAAAATTAAAAATAATCTGTGCAAAGACATAAATTACAATGGTTTGTGTTGTCATTGAAATTGGGTTGTTGCGACAAATTTTAATATTCTAGATACATTGAGATTGACTGACAAAATTGACAATTGCTTTAAAAAACAATTGCGTCAAAAAAGTATACACAACAATTAATACAAAGTGTACAAAGATAGATTCTGACTTAAATGTCGGTGTCAATTTTAATTGCCAGAAATAAAACGTTTTTTACATTTTCCCATAGTGATAGATAAACTAAATGGAAAGTGGCACTTAAATTTATGTCGGTAATTATGGCAAGCTTGAAAAAGGTTCCAGACAAAATTCTTAAAAGGAGCGCCAAGTATACCTCGACGGTAGAACGACCGAATTCTTCAATTTGAGTTTCGGTAAACGAGATGACGATTATTCGAGTGGCGCGACGTATAGCGCGAGGAGACGAGCTGGCGCGGAGCCAAAAAGTGCCAATTCAATCTTACTTCTCCTTCCGGATGTAAAATTTCAGGTAGCCGTCGAACTTTCAACTTCCATTGCTCGTCTTGGCCGTGGTAGTGTTGTGCAGACTGTAGCATACATGTTCTCGCTTCACCCACGAGTACGGACAGCATTATAATGACTCGATTTCCGGGATCCTTTAATAACTCAATGTTCTTTCGTCTTTTTCATGTACGTTTCTTCTAGAAATTCTTTTAAACCAAATTGAACTGTCCTAGAACTGTCGAAAGTTGCGACGTGTGCCTCAGATAAGTATGAAACTTACTTTTGTCGTGTCAGAAGTAATGATAAAAGACGAAAATATACCCGCGTTTTCTCCTACATCACGAATAATATTGTCCATTGACGAAGCAGTTTGAATAAGTACACACAGAAAAATACATATTGAATTTAAGTAAATGTTACTTGCTTCAAATATTTCATAAGTTTACACATCTGTAAACACTAGTAAGTTTAGCATTTCAATCAAATATATTAAAATAAAAATTCGATTTGCATAGAATCCAATACATGGAAGCAACTTTTCTTTCGAAGTTTTATAATATTCTGCAAAGAGAATAAATTCTTTCTTTGAGTATACAATAGTAAACTTTTCTCAAATTTGCGAAGGAAATTATTTAAAAAATATTTGTTGCTAAAGACAACTTTGAAAGAAGTTTAAAACTAAGTTTTAAACTAAGTAACTGCTCTTAGCAGTAAACTGATGTGGTGGTGTAAAGAAAAATGCGACTATGCACACATATATCTAAAGATGTATAACTGAAATCACCAACTAGATGTAAAAATTTGAAACTTTTGATATTGTTCTCTCACAGTTTTGATATTATGCAGATAACCATTCGCTCATCGGAAAAAAGAAGATTAGATGATTCATGGACAGTCAACTGTCATTTCAGCCAGAATATTCGATTATAACAATTAGTTGTCTAACCAACTGAACTCATTTGTTATAACCAAAGATTCTGGCTGCTTTAAGTGAAATGCGGTTATTTCTCCGTAAATTAACCAATCTTTTTTTCCACGTCGCGTTGACCATTGGTAAGCATTAGTAGTTAATTCGATCTACTTTAGTCGTGCCGAGGGAATATATAAAATGTAATGTGCAGTGTGTATCTACAGAGTCATTAATTTATGCTGTATACGATAGCAGCTGAGTGAGATGAGTGCGCGAGATGAGAAAATTATTCAAGATTCTTGAAGATATGTATTCCTCCTCGCCCTCGATTTTTCTCTAGCATGCTGCGCTTCGAATTTAATGAGGTCCTTTATTGATGAATAGCATTTATCAAAGTATCTCGCAGATCCAACCACGCGTTTCTAACGATATCACGTACTCATAATCTTCTGCTGACATAGTTTCTCGATAAAATTTGAGTTTGGAAAATTACGAAATGTGAAGTTAGAATGATATGCGTCGATGATATATTTTTAAAATCTCAATTACAAGTCAACTCGATGGAACCTTAATGTTTAATACTTAAGGAGAAAGATGGTAGAAATTATTTCTTAGGCACACAATCAGTCAAATGTAGAAGGGCCAATGGAAAAACAGCTCAATATTTACTTTAAGACTTCAGTATTCGCTCGTTTTAATAAAGGTGATTAGATATTTAATCTAAGTATCATATGTAATATAAGCTATGTGTGTAATTAGAAGATGTATATATTATAAATAAAAACTACTGTATATTATTGATTTATTAATTTTTTAAAATACTTTATGTGGTTAGAGCAAGTAATTTTTCTAAAATTTTTGTTAAAATTAAACTAGTGTATGCAGTGAATTTATTTATATATGCACGAATATAAATTAACGTCACGGAGAGAGCATGACAATAAAATATACAAGTTATTGAAGTCATCTACGTACCTTAAACGATCCGAGATCCTTTACACTGCACGCCAATTTGACATTTCGCCCAGCTGGTACTGTAATATTTCCTATTTCGTCCACGAATTCTGGATCAGGGATAGTAGTAACTGAAAAGAAAAATATGAATAGGTATAGAAAAGTGTATATCACTGTAGAGAATGCGGCAAAGAAGCGATATAAGCGCGTGAACCCCCGTTGAAATAATAAGTTGAAATTCTGGAGTAAATTTGCATTCATGCATGGCTCCGTTTTAGAGAAAAACGACTTTGAAGTACCGTCGAAAAGTTCAAGCACTTAGAGAACATCTTAGCTTTTTACGACAAATGACATTTTGTCACTGACTGCTCCAAGGAGATGCCGCCGACAGTACGTATTTGCGTCGTACGTTCTACGGACTGACGAAGCAAAATTTAGCAGAGATGAAGCTTTTACCGTCCGTAATACATTGGTGGATTTCGCAGAATCTCCATATTCCTCATGAGACACACTTTCAAGAAAAATGGCCCTTAAATGCATGAACAGAATTATAATAATATCACAGAATTGTATTTTCTACCAAGTTTAATTTTACTGCACCACCATTTTGCATGTTTTATGCACGAAGAATTATCTACACTGCTAAAATATGTTATTTACTAGAAAAAGAAATATCGCAATATGATGTAGTTCCTCATTATATTTTAATGAAGATATGCGAAATTTGTCAAATCATAAATATATCATTGTTGAGTTTTATAGTTGGGATTATAATAAAGAAACATTTAGTTATCAATCTATTAAGCTGCAATATTATCTAATTTTGCAGTGTTTGATTTTTATTTGCCGAGTTATGTGTGGAAGACGTTTTCAAAAAATATTCAAAATTATTTCATCTTTTACACAAGAGAAAAAATTATTAAAATTTGAATACAACCAACAGCTCTCAACTTTGCATTAATGATAATTTATAAATCCCTCCGTGGAAGAACGCGGCTATATGTTATGCATTTAACACAGAGTTCATTTTGCACACAGTAACCTATTTATTAATAAAATAAGAGGAAAAATATACGTTACGTATATGCTCAATTTTCTCGGAATATTTTATTGTATGACCTCATATACCTTGCATGCGAACGTGAATAGAAGTAGTGATCCGTAACGAGGTTACCGAATCGTACTGCAAATACGAATCATAAGTGTAAGTACGTATGTACTTGATGGAACAATACTAACGACAAGAGTCGCCTTCTTCTGTTTGTTGCATAAACGAAATCAGACGTATAAAAGAATTTATGCTAAAATTCCGACGTATTCTTCGACGACGATTACACATACAGGATGTCTTCGACTCTCCTCCACAATTTTTGTGGAAACGTAGAATAGATTGAAGTGAATATAATAGTTCTACACTATTTCACGATATTCGCAATAATAGTCGAGATATTAATTAATGAAAATTGGTGAATGATCACGCGAGATATAGTAGATAAGCTGCAACGCCGATGTGTGCTGTTATATGCTTGTCTGTCTGTTTAAGTCAAATTGAGCAAAAAAGCTTTTTATTATTTTGTAAATAATTATGTATATTTTTAGTTATTAGTGAAAGAAAATTGTTACATGATTGTACACGATAATACACAAATTTCCTTAACTAATATCTAAAAATCTATGTAGTCACTTGCAAAATGGTAGAGGACTTTTTCGTTCAGTTTGACGTAATGTATAAGTATATAATAACAGATAACGTCACAGCTCATCTGCCATATCGATTATTCACTAACCTTTTTTAATTAATATCTGGAGATTTATTCACGGAGAAAAATAATTTTGCTCTTTTAACAAAATCGTCGTTACTACTGCATATTCGTAGTGACATCAAAATTATTTGTAAGTTGATGTAACTAATTTTACAAATTATTCGTTATCAAAGTAATAGTTTTGCTGCCAGGATAGAAAAAATTTATTGAGTGTATTTGTCCTAAAATCACGTTAATTTGCTATTGATGCAAAATAATGTATCCTTAGCAAATTTATTTGCTATCGGAGCAAAACTGCAATTGCTTACATAAATCCATCATAGTTCTTATAGCAAAATAATTTGTAGATTCAGCAAATTATACCCAGCAAATAGTGATTAGTACTTTTAATAAATCTTTTTGCTGTCCATATAATAACGAAAAAATTTTGCTAGAGCAGCAGAAAATTTGCCAGGCCAGCAAATTATTTTTCTCCGTGTTGCAAATGTCGCAAAATGATATGGAACTTTTATATTCACTTTGTTCTACGTTCCTACAAAAATTACGGAGAAGAATCTGGGACACCCTATATATTGCAGCGATGGAGTGAGTAGCAGCGATTCTTAGAATAATGAAATATTTACACAATACGTCCACGAGCGGAATAAAATATCCGCAGTAGTGCAAGTTGTCGCGCGCATCTAATTTCATACTGAGAAATGCATTTCCTAGACAGCAACGAAGCGATACCGCATATAAATTCGTTTCCGTGACACAACCATTACGAACTCGTGCCTTACACGCGCGCGGCACTTTTGCGCAAATGCAGGCCTCACGCACGAAATAACATTACGCGACGAGGAAACGCGGTCGTGAGTAACCGGGACAGATGGGAGAGAGCTCGATCTCCATAAGCATCTTGAAATCCTCTCGTAGATTCGATCACCGCACGCCGCACTCCCGAGGCGGGTCGGGCAGGACGATTGCTTCTGTGCGGGATATCGCGGAATGTAGGGACTTGAAAAATTGCATTTTGTATTCAATAACTAAGCTGTCACGCCGACTGGTGAGCTTCTATAACTCAAAGCGCATCCACGCAGCCACGCGTGCACCGCCCTTAGATCGATCCGGTTCCCTTTCCCGAAGTAGGTAACGTGGGGAATGCACGGCTGGCGTGCCCCCACCGGCGACACACTCGTCGAAACTCACTGACATTGTACGATTTCAAAAATTTCGCCGTCGAACTTTTGTATCGGACTTCGTCGATTGAGTTCGCCCGCGCCTTCCGATGTCCTGACAATGTCTAACAAATCCCGGAACTACCTCACGCTCGTCAAATGAGTTTAGCCCAAGATTTCGTCGCACACCGGACATTATATGCGGTTGTCTCGCTCCAACTCCGGACTGAAATTTGATTAAAATCTGACGTGACAATAATGGGTTACCTTGTGCAAATAGTATGTCATACGCGTATGTACCGAGTGCGATATTCATTTGCATACGATTCCAATAATTTTGGTCGTCGGGCTGATTCAGTTGTCACAGTTTGATTACTTTTTCGGAAGTAAGAACGATGCAAGGAGATTCGGAATGTATTAATTTTCTCGTCATGAGTGCTATATAGCTTCGAAAAATTCAGCAAAGTGAACAGTTATGTTAAACTAAATTAAATATGTTAATCCTGAACCAAATACTAAACTAGATTAAAGTTCGAATGACTTTACAACATTAAACATAAAAAAGTTAGGTGAACTTTAAACATGAGTAAATTTTACTTAGTGCATTTTTATTTACTGACAATTTCCAGAAAAATGAATGAAATTCAACCATTCCTTTTTCATTTGTTGTAAAAAACATCGAGAAATATAAATTTATTAATGTCTTTGCGATTCAATAAAGTTGAAGAAAGTTAAAATAAAAAAAACAAAACACATATTTTTAAAAACGGTAACGTTTAAAAAGTTTGTTTGAGTAAATTTTACTTATGTTTAGAGTTCTGGGATTAAAAACAAAGTTATTTTCTTCGGAGGATTATTCTCACTAAATCATATATTATCGGAACTTCCATTGCTGCGTAGAGGAACTTCGAGTAATAAGGAATGGTTGGTTAATAAGGAATCTCATGCTTTCTAAGTATCGCAGCCAGCCCGGAAGCAGTGGAATTATTAGTTACTTGATTTCTAACTTGAATTATAAAAAACTAGCTTAATATGGCATATATGTATATACAATGTGTACATCCTGTTTTAGATTTTCTGTGTTTCACAACTTTCATCAGGCAAGTTTCTCAATTTTTATTTAACAATCAATCTATTTTATAAATTCTTAATCGCCTTTTAAAATCTACCTTTAAAAAAAGTATATTAAAATTATTACCTAAGTAGGAATTTACTACTGGCGTCAAAATGACTCAGTACCGATTTATGATAAACGTTACTGGCATAGTATTAGCCAATACAGCCAATACGGATTTAGTATTGGTGTGATACTGGGATGATAGAAAAGAACCAGTATCGAAAAAAAGTACTGTCACAGTACCGAAAATCAGTACTGTACTCATATCAAAGTAGTATTGATTCCTAGGAAAGAAGTATTGATTCATAGGTACTAAGGAAGTACCTATTCCCAGTACTGGGCCAGTATCGATTCCTAGTAATTTTTATTATTTGTACAATTGTTAATACCACAACTATATGGTACGGAAAGAAAGATCAGACCATGGCCGGGGCTGCTCTCGTTTGTATCTATACATATCTATTTTTAATAGTCACATGAAGAAAAAATCTTCGGAGTGACAGCTAAAATCGAACTCGAGTCTTCCACTTGTCAGGCAAGCGTTCTTACCACTGAGCTATCTAGGTTTCGCGTTAGTGACCTCTTCTGTTTTCCCATAAAGGACATTGGTATCGTCCGTTTTTCGGCTCAATATCCTCTATTGACAGATTGTATGTGACTCTTACTTGGATATTCAGTACTGATTCTACGAACAGAGCCAGTACCAATAATACAGCTTTTTAAATACTGGGCCAGTACCGAAAACGACAAACACTTTTCGGTAACGCCCCATACGGTACGACTATCCAGTACCTAACCTTGATACGGAATCAGTACCAATAATACAGTTTTTTAATATTAGGTACTGAGCCACACACACACACACAGTACCAAAACCGGATATCCGCTTTTATTGGCCAGTATCGGGCCATTTTTCCGTACTGGCAAAACATATACAATTCCTACTTGGGTATACATAAATAAATCCGTAAAGAATCACGTTAAAAAAAAAACAGTTAGCTTTACAACTTCATAGAAACTAATCTCAGTTTTCCTGAACAGTTTTCGGTTTATCTTCCAAAAGTCAAATGTTATTCTCTAGTATCCGAAACTGC